CAGAGTAACCTGGACTCTCGGTTACTGTTTTTTGCCGCAGTAGGCAGTTGCTAAGAGAAGTTGCTAGTCTATAGGAACTACCTTTGAGGTTCCTCTCGGTCGATGTAGGCTGGGGTCAGGCCATCCCTAGGCCTGTGCATTCCTGGGTTTCTTCTCTTCTTTATTCTCTGAGATTAGAAGCTCTTTACATTGAGAGAGAGTTGCATTTGAGACAGTGAAAGATAGATTGGAGTTAATTCTTTGAGCTGCAATCGCAGACTCAACTGCGATATGCTAAGCTGAGTAATGCTCTCAGTATTCCCGGGTTGAATTGTGAGGTCCCCGGCCTCAATCATTTTTATAATATAAGGAATGACTTCATTTAAAAAAAAAAAAAAATCCTTTTCAATAGGAAATGGATGCATTGAATGACGTGACACTGTTTAAAATTCCCACCACCCAAACACCAAAAACAATTGAAGGGAAAGGTATTCGAATACCGACAGGCCTAGCGCAGTTGGTACACCCCTCAACTGTTGAAATACAGACTCAAGTTCAAATCCAGATGCCCTCAAATGTAGAGAATAAAATCATTCTGAATTGCCTGGGGCCGGTCAGTTCAATGATGATATCTCAAGGCTGTCGCCCTTATTTAAACAAAAAAAAAACAAAAAAAAAGAAAAGGTAGTTGAATGTGGTAGCCATCTCTCATATGAGAGGAGATAAACATAACATCACAAACAAAACAAAACAAAACGAAAAAACAAAGCCATCAATTTATTATTATTATTTTTTTTTTTTTAATGATTGCATTTTATTAATCTCCAAAAACCAAGGGAAAACCTCTAGGTTTCAAGGTGGAGGAAACTGGGGCCATTATCATCAATATGGCGGTGACTGCTGATGCTAAATTAAACGACGGTCGCGCGCAGCCATCCCAGGAGCATGGTTCCACTAGCAAAGGGGATGGATCGAATGCTTGAATCTGGACGTGTTCGTGGAGACATGCAGGAAATCAAGATCATTGTACTGGTTTTCTTCATCCCTGCATATAACACCTGCAGATTCAGGACTTCGATCCTATCCTCTTCGCTAGTGGGACCTTGGCCCAGGAGTGAAAGGAGGTGGGGAGAGAGTGGAGGACGCCGAAGAATACGAAGAAGAGAGGACCGAGGTGAAAGGTATAGAAAGTCAAGTACGCATAGACTCTGATAAAGAAAAGACGGGCAAAAAGAAGAAGAAGTTGTCTCAAAAAGAAAAAACTGCGCCCGTGACTGCTGCAAAGATAAGAATTCGCAGAAATAACAGTCCACTACAAGATTGGGCGAGGAGCAGTTAGAAACTGCAAGAAAAACAGTAAACGGCCCTATCGACGGCCTACTGGTTCAATAATTGGCAAAAACGGGAGGTGGCCTCGGCTGGTAGTTTCGACGGCCTACTGGTTCGATAATTGGCAAAAACGGGAGGTGGCCTGAGCTGGTAGTGGTACCGCGTGGCCTGGCCTGGCCTGGGAGCGCAGGTACCGGTACCGGGCCCTCCCCATTGTGGTTTCTGGCGGGACTCGGTTCGGGCTGGTGGCCGTTCGGGCGGGTAGCGGTGGACTGCGTTTTCGTATGGTGGCCACAGTTTTCGAAATTGTGGGGCAACAGTAGTTCGTTCAGAGGCCGTGCTCCCACCACGCCCTCCACCTTGCACTCTGCAGCAACGCCCTTGGCGGTGGACATCCCCCGTCACTCTCTCTCTCTCTCTCTCTCTCTCTCTCTCTCTCTCTCTCTCTCTCTCTCTCTCTCTCTCTCT